TTTGTGATCACTTCATTTAAATTAACTTTTTTTATTACTGCGTTGGCAAATGCAATCATATTTTTGCCTGCATGTCTGATAAATGTCTCATGACTATGGCATGGTATGAGGGCCAAAATTAAGACTATTGCGCAACCAGCAGATGCTACATCCTTGTAGCAGGAGGCTATATCTATTCCTAAACCAGCTATTGATCTGATTAATGATAGGCTGACACCGATAACTGAGAGGCTGGTGCAGGCAAATGAGGAGATTCATTTGTGTTAGCATGAAGAGGCTAGTGACTAGCATGGATAACTTGGTCTTAGCATTGGAGAGACTAGTGACTAGCATGGATAAGCTTGCATTAGCATTGGAGAGACTAGTGACTAGCATGGATAGTCTGGTGTTATTATCAGAGAGGCTAGCAACTTGCATGGATAGGCTGGTGTTAGCATTGAAGAGGCTAGCGACTAGCATGGATATGCTTGTGTTAACATAAGAGAGGCTAGCTACTAGCATGGATAAGCTGGTGTTAGCATTGGAGAGGCTAGTGACTAGCATGGATAAGCTGGTGTTAGCATTGGAGAGGCTAGCAACTAGCATGGATAAACTGGTCTTAACATTTGAGAGGCTAGCGACTAGCATGGATAGTCTGGTGTTATTATCAGAGAGGCTAGCGACTAGCATGGATAGGCTAGTGTTAGCAGTGGAGAGGCTAGCAACTAGCATGGATAAACTGGTCTTAACATTGGAGAGGCTAGCAACTAGCATGGATAAACTGGTCTTAACATTGGGGAGGCTAGCGACTACATGGATAGGCTGGTGTTAGCATCGGAGGGGCTAGCGACTAGCATGGATTGGCTAGTGTTAGCATTGGAGAGGCTAGCAACTAGCATGGATAAGCTAATGTTAGCGTTGTAGAGGCTAATGATCATAGATATCAAAGGCAATTATGATATATTGAATTATGAGAAATGTATATGACATCATAAATTAGAGATGCGTAATTTTATACTCGGTCAAAAACTGTAAAAAGCCCCAAGTTCATAGTTCTGGATTTTCTCATAAATTGGCTAAAGAGAAAAAAAACAAAAACAAAACACTGCCATCGATCAGTACACAAGGCAAACACAGCTGCTAATTCAGTGGTAACTAAAGCTGTCTGCTTCACAGTAATATGTTTTATGTTTAATATTTATGCTTGACGTTATGTTGAACAGTTACTTCTCTCTAAGGAACCTCCGTCAGTGCATATTGCTTATTGGTTTTGTATGTCAACCATTTTTGGTGAGAAAGTTTTCTTTATCCAAAAAAAGTTAATGTAAAATATCAACTAATAAAAAATAGGTGAGCAGCCTAGGCATGCTAGTCACTAGCCAATACTAACACTAGCTTAACCATGCTAGTCCCTTTCCACTGCTAACACATGTGAACAGTCTTCTCATTTGCCAGCGCCGGCCTGTCAGTTACCAGGTTCAGCTGCTCAGTCTTAATTTTGGCCTTCAACTGCACCATATTTAAAAACAACAAAAATGTCTGAAAATCAGGTTTACAGATGCTAATAAAAATGTGCATGAAAGTAGCTGGAACTGAACTCCAACCTGTTCCGAGCACGAACAAGTTGAACAAGATCTGGGTTTATAATTACTCTCTTATTTAATCCAGGTCAATTTAGTTCATTAGCAAAATATCTCATTGGCCACTAAATTGATTTTAATTAAACTTTTAGGAAGAAACAATTGGATGTACATTTAGAACTGAGCTAACTGCCTTAAAACACACGTATAGCTTTAGCTTTAACTCAGTCCATTTTACAGAGATTGAGCAGTATTTTGACTTATCACCAACCCATGCTCTGAGCTTGTGCAGATCAATATTTTCAAAATGCCAGTAAAACAGCTGCAACTCTCTAGTTTCTCCATAATTTATTGCTCAACTCCTTTTATAGTTATCCAACTCCTCTTCACTGAGCCGTGGCCAGAAAAAATGCAGGGATGGTTTCATTTCCACTACTGGACACGCTGCCAGAATAAAAACACACGAGATGCAAAACAGGAAAAATCTGTTCTCCTTTTCCGGTCAAAGAGCCGACAGAAAACGAGAGAAGCAGCTCAGCTGTGGGCTGATGTGTATACCTCCTTCAGCGAAACCTCAACAAACATCATTATTTAGCTGCAGGTGTGCTGCGCGTCCTCTGCGTGCTCTGATAGCGGGACGACAGTGACACTGAACGTAGTTCCAAACATCAGCGTTTTAACTGTAATCTTGATTGTTTTTCTTTTTCTATCTCCTCGGTGCGTCAGTAGAGACGTTAGAGGGACCGTTTCGTTCGTCTACTCGCACCGGGTCAAGGTTTGCTGGACGTGTGGGGGAGTGAGGAAAATCAGTGAGACTTTTGCAGTTGTCTTGTGTTTTTTCCTGCTGAGGGACACTCCTCGAAGCCCGTCTATGTTGATGGGAAGTTGAGAACGGCTGAACGCAGGCGATGCTGACGTCAATCGAGCTCGAAGAACCAGTCCAGCAGGAAGTGATATCCCCCCCTCCCCCTCTTCTCCTCTCTTTCCTGTCTGTCACATAACACTCATTTGAATCAAACACCATTTGATACTTTCGCAGGTCACACCTGGGTGTTTTCCCACAGTTTAAATAAGAAAGTTTTTAAACTTTTTTGCTGTTGTGATCAACTAATAGCCTATATGCCACGGTCATTAATGACATATTTCCTGTAAAATTCTTGCCACGCTCCTCCCTTCCACTCCCTGCTTACTGCCTATGTTTTTAGCGTTAGCTGCTAGCACTAGTCCGTGAAAAAGTCACAAAATTTAAAGCATCTATGATCTACTGGTATAAAACATGAGTTGTGTTGTGTGCCTTTGTGTCCACTAAGCAGCAGGTACAATCGAGTTGTTAGTTTTTCTCCAATTTCCTCTTGATGAGGAGGTGACAGCAGAGGATCATAGCATTACAGGGAAAACTTATCTTTAAAAGCTCACGCTTGCGTTTGTAATCAGCATTTTCTAACCTGAGGATATTCAAGAGCCAGCATCAGAAATGAGAAGACGGAGGTTACAAAAGGGAAATGTACATTTATCCCCTTTTACTGCCAAGACGAGAGAGGAAAGACCACCTCCACACGACAGCTAGCAGGAAGCTAACACAGCAGCCGGTACAAAGGTAGGTGTGTGTGTTTGTGTTATATGAAATGTTTTTAGGCAACTTTGTCATGAGTTTTATGCAAAAGTAAAACCTTGTTAGAGTGTATATTACAACGTAGAGCTGAGTGACGAGCCCCCTCCCCACGAGCACCGAGAGCAGCAGAACCTCTGCCTGAAAATCATTATGTTTTCAGTTCACTAACGTCGAGGAAAACGATCCAAACCATACAAGTAGCCCATCGATTTAAAGCCCAGACTCTGCTCTTTCCAACAATATAAGTGTCACAGCTCTACGTGAAAAATTCACACAACAAGCAGCCACAGAATAGTGAAAAAGGCTAATATCTGGAACCATAAACACAAACGTCTTTCCTTTGTTTTTATGTCTTTAATCCACTTTGGAGTCATTTTTTTTCGACTTGGCTGGACCTGTACGTCTCCTGTGTTAATGTTGGTACATGTAATATGCTAATTCTGTACTGTGGAGATCATTAACAGTCGTTGTCGGGTGAAAAAATCTTTCGCTAACACTGTGTTGACCGTGAACTGGAAGTGTTGGGAGTGGCATCCAGTGCTGGGCCGGATGTCTGTGGCATTTAGGCAATTATTGTATAATTAACTGAAATATTTTATTAAAGGTTTAAAATAGCATGTAGTGTTGGCAGAGTGCTGTGTCCTCATGAAAACTTAGGCAGAGAATTATATTTCCGTAAGTCCTGTGGATGATAATTAAACTCTTGCACAAACAAATGAATGAGGTCACAGTAAATATGTGATGGTTTCACAACACTTTCATCAGTTGCAACAGTAATTCATTCATACGACGTCTTAGTCCAATCTTCCACCTGACGAATCATTTACCTGAAGGCAGTACATTCTAAACATGTGACCTTCTGTTTATCAGCGGAATTTATTTTAGATTAAAGAGAATAATTCATATCTTTAGGAGTGGGGTTCTGTTGGAAGTTAACGAACGGTTATTATCATATCAGAAAGCTCTTTTAACAACCTCAGTTTGGAAAAATAATATTTAATTCCGATCAGTCATCTTAAAACAGCTCCAACCTCAAAATGTCATGAAAGAAACTTTTTATACACCTTAAAGTGCCTGTGACATGTCGACCCTTCAAATACAAAAAGTCAACACAGTCCCTCAGTCAATCAGAGCTCTTACCACATATAATCTATTTAAAAAACTGTTACGGTTGACCAAAAATCACTGAAAAAAAACCAGTATGAAAACAATATGACTCCCACTTACGCTTCACGTGCAGGGGTCATAATAAATCCTGGGCCAGACAGGAGTCACCCGCAGGCCACATTTGGCCCAAGGGCCTTGAGTTTGACCCGTGCTTTACACGCTAATTCCAGCAGAAATGTTTCATATTCCTGCAGGAAGTGCCCCAAGCTGCACCAGAAATGCTACTGCTAGCTGCTGCACTCACAAATAAGCCCAGTGTAAAGGACCGCATCATGTGCAATTAACAGAAATGTAAAGGTGCAAAAGAAAAAAAAAGCATTTAAAAAAACGGATATCTATTTCTGTCACTTTACTGCCACAAAACACAGATAATATAGCTTGTTTGGAACAGTAGAAAACTTTCAGTTCCCCTTTTATTGCTATTTGTTTAAATAAAAAACACTTTTTCCATTCAAATGTAAAAAACACAAGCCTTAAATAATGACGTGTTTAAAAAAAAAAAGCAAGAATCAATCAATAACTCAAACACTGACAATGGTTTGTTAGCATTCATGTCTACTGAAGAGATGTTTACAGAATAAGTGACAAATGTAAAGTTTTGTTGCGCTAAAACAAAATAAACAAAGAGTCAGTTTTTACGTTTTCAGAGCGTCAGGACTCACCTGAGAGACAGACTTTGGTGACGCAGGGCTGGTGGGCTGCAGGAGACCTCCTGTAACGCACAAATAATACAAGTAAATAAAACAAAAGACTGCAAAGTGATTTTTTTAAAAAGGTTTTTCCTATATTCATTTATACATAAACAGGATTTCTAAAGGATAGAAAGGTGATGCAGTAAAACGCTGCTACATATGGACAAAACACAAACTTTATATTTGTCTTTATTTATGATTTGAGCATCTATGTGGGCGGGGCCGACTCAGCTGGTGATAAATGACCAGAGGCAGCTAAACGGAGGGCCTGGTGTTTGGTGTAAGATCATTTGACATTTTTTATGATTTTATCAACATTGTTTGTCATTTCATCGTGCATTTATCAAATGTCTTAATGTTTTATTAATGCTTCATACTCACATTACTGCTTTTATGTTTTTACTAAACACTTTAAAGCTGCTTGTGGTTAAAGGGATCCACGATTAGTTGTAACATTAAACTTTATTTGATAAACATTTATAGTAACTGTAAAATAAAGACTAAAAATACTGTAGGCTTTTTAGTTTTGTAAATTTTCTAATTCTATTTCAATAATAGTTGATAATGGTAATAAGTAATAGC